CCTTCAGAGATGGTCTGTGACTGGAAGTACATTTTCCCTTGAGTGCTGTTGTCATAGAGTACTCATGTGTCAGCATTGTCACTCTGGGGCCTCTGAGCCTTCTTAAGCAATTAAACCCCGTTTAACCATCACCATCAGTGCACTGGCTTAGAACCTGCCACAAGGTAGGCACTCAAACATGCCTTAAATTAGCTAGCTAATCAACAAATACAAAGAATCTGAGTATCTTGACTTAATGTCCACTATAACCTTCTACAAAAGTTCTAATTAGTACCAAAGGAAAACACATGTAATTTAGTGTAATAAATACCTTTCTGCCCAAAAGACAAAGAGCCTATAATTGTCACTCTTAGGTCCTAATAGCCTCTATTTATCTCAAGATTGTTTAAAAGTATAGAAGTGAGAAGATGCTAGCAGCTGCTGCAGGATGTTGGTTTGTAAGGACCTTCCTCTCCTCTACCGAAGCACATCGTGTTCAGTGCCCGCCCACGCCTTGTGGAGTCCAAGGTCACTGCCTGACCTTGGAAGTGGGCAGTGATGCCAAGTGTAGCCATACTTAATATGGTCTATTTGCACTTACAAGTTTAATGTTAATGTTTAAAAAAATCTATGTATACATTTATAAAATTAGTACAAAAATGTATTTTTAAAAACTATTCTTATAAAATTAAAGAATTGGTACAGAAAAGCAGAAGAATAGAGCAAATCAAAGCATGTGCATGTCTCTCTGGCTTCCAAGTATGCAGTGACTCCCAGAGGCTGCAGTCTGAGTTCAGGGGTACTGCTTTGAACCTCATCAAAAACAACCCCCAAATCAGCAGCTGAAGACAGATGGCAAATATTTGGTTAATTAGACAACATTAAAAATGATAGTCATTTTTTTAAAATCACACCCCAACCTAATCCCCTTACCAAAGAAATAAGTATTTTGATAATTCTCCAATGAAAAGCAAAATAGAATTCTCCAAGACAAACTCCAAAGACAAACTATTGTCCAACCCTTTATAATTCCGCACACACAAGGGCGGGACCCCAAGAAAGCAAAGGTGATGTTGAAAGATGCTGGTGCTCTGATAATGAGTGTTCTTGACCATGGTTCAGTGGTGTGTGTGTGTGTGTGTGTGTGTGTGCGCGCGCGCGCGTATGATGGAGGTTGAAACTTAGAATACTGTTTCTCCGAAATAGTAAAAAAAAAATTTAACTGCCTGGAAATGATAAAATAGTACAGACCTATAATAATATTTCAATAAAAATCACATATGGATTTTTATATACTCCAAGATACTAGCCTCCAGGCTCTAACTATTTGCATGTCCCTAGACTTTTGTTTCCTCATCTGGAAAATGGGCATAATCAAGAACATCTAATACATAGCCATTGGTTCATGGATTAAGTCATGTCCATATGAAAGAGCATGGGTAGGGTGTTCTACTTAGTAAACACTCAGTAAAGTCAGCAGCTATTTTATTATCACCATTATTATCATAGAGGTTTCATTCTCAGACCTGTTCAAGCACCATGACTTCAAATGTAAGAGGCTACCAGCAACATCTTCAATGATAATTCCCTTTCCTATAATATATGATCAAACTGTGTTTTTCAGTTTATATTGTTGTGCCCATTTGAAGTTAGGGAAGATTCAAAACAAATCACCACTCACTACTTCACTGGATCCTCACAACGACACTGACACATAAAGACAGGGGAGCTATTGTCCTCATGACACAGGTAAGCTTCAGTTTTAGCTGAAGTGTAAGACGTAAAAGGACTTGCCAAAAGTCACACAGCTAGTAATCAGCAGTGGCAGGATTCAAGGATGTTCAGCCTCCTCCTTCAGGGCTCTTGCGATCATTTCAGCCTTTTCCAAAACATCAACCTTCAAATAGTTCATTTAGGTCAACAAATGTGACCCTAAGTGGGTTAGCAGAAATACCACAAATGGGAAGGTGTAACGTGAACTTGGATTTATGGTTACATAGATACAAACTTGGGCAGATCTGTAAAACAACTTATGGTTCTGGTTTGAGTCTAACACTCACACACATGCACACCCACTCACACACACACAGGGCACAGCTCTGTGAGAGCTGGTGCTCAAGGGCTATGGGAGAGAAAGTGAGCAAAGGCCTGTGTTCTGATACATTTGGAGCTTCCTCCCTATCATATGACACAGTACAAGCAAATGGCTATGGAGGGTCAAAGTATTTATTCAAACAATCCTTTTAAATAAAAAAAAAAAGAACTTTAACTCAAAAATTTTGTCAGATGAGAAATTAAAACTATGTTAAAATTCTAGGGCACCTGGGTGGCTCAGTCGGCTAAGTGTCTGACTCTTGATTTCTTTTCGGCTCAGGTCATGATCTCAGGATCATGGGATCCTGGGATCCAACCAGCGTCAGCGGGAGTCTGCTTGTCTCCCTCTCCCTTTGCCCCTCCCCCTGCTTGTGCTCACTCTCTTAAATAAATAAATCTTTTTTAAAAAACTTTATTAAAATTCTTATTCAGATAAATTTAATTCTCCAAGTCACTTACATGCATAGAAAGAGAACCAAAGACTCAATCAAACTAAGTAAGTCCTTTAAAAATACAAATCTCTGCTCACGGGGTAAGAAGGATTCAATTAGAAAAAAACTTAAAAAATCAAGGCGAACTTTCAAAGAGATTATCATCCTTGTTCATTTTACTGTAATATGACAGGCAATCTTCTACTCTTAATCAATCTGAATATCTTTGACGATTATTATTTATCTATTTGGAAAGAAAGGAAAAGGTATGAGCTGGAAATAAAAAAGCATTTTATCAGAACACAGGAGACTATCAAACATAGTATAAAAATTGCACTGACAGGGTGCCTAGGTGGCTCAGTTGGTTAAGCCACTATCTTCAGCTCAGGTCATGATACTAGAGTCCTGGGATCGAGTCCCACATCAGGCTCCCTGCTCTGCAGGGAGCCTGCTTCTCTCTCTCCCTCTGCCTCTCCCCGTGCTTGTGCTCTCTCTCTCTCTCCATCAAATAAATAAATAAAATCTTTTTTTTTTAATTGCACTGATAATGTTAAAAAAAAAAAAAAAAAAAAAACTACAATGACAAAACCGGAATGGAATTGGCACTGTGTGATGCTGGTTTTTTTAATCCTGATGTTGGAACATAGAATGAACAAATTCCATGAGCTAGTTTTATTCAAACCTGTATCTCCCTTAGCCAAGGGGGCCATATTCAGTGACGACTGCCTTGACCACACCACTGTGGAACTTTGTGGCCAAACACCCCAGTCCAGCTGAACATTTTGCTCTATTTTTCCACAAGGAGTCTATGTATAGCTGCTGCCTCTACCATAATTAAATGATGGCCTTAGTCAATATGATTCAATATGCATCAAGTCCTACCTAGCTCAGTTCTGTACCACAGCCCCAGCAACTGTTGCTTAGTCCAAATGGCGCCTTTGGGGAGGCGGATGGGATGATCCAGACAGCTCTGCTCCCTAGTCTGGCTGGAACAGGGACACACAGGATGGAACAACAGTGTTTCTTGATGTGTGTCCTGAAGAAAATCTCTCCTGAAGAGAGATGCCATTCAAAAGCTGGATTTCACAGTCAAGTCAATTTGGGAAAGACAGTACCTTGAGCCTGTGTCTGGGAACAGCACAATGCACACTGGCATGGTAAGGGTTGTGAAGAGTCCTACAGCAAACACCTCTGTAACACTTCAACTCAGCAAGTCCCAGATTTATTTGACTATGACTCTTCTTGACAATAACACTTACTAATACTGAAACTTAGTTAGGGAAATGCTTGAGACTACATTTACCAGCTGTGTGTCTTCATATCTAGCTACATGACAAGTCTTGGTTTCCCTGACCAAGAATAGTTACTCAAACAAAGGGTTACTGTAAGAATTAAACTAGAAATGTGTCGTTCAGATTTTCTGGCAACAAAACTGTTAAGTAATTTGTAAATTTCACCTTAATATAAGGAAAATATATATTTTTGGAAAACAAATAGAGAAAAACATATATTTGGGTGACCATTACAATGATCCAAAGCAGTATACTCTTTATGAAAATATTTGCCATCATGGGCCCACAACCCCAATGTATGTCTTTTTATGTGCAAAGTGAATTGAGAGAACAAAGTAATTACCCAAATATTTCAACTCAACTTCTTTTTTTATAATAATAATATAACTTTGCCTGTTAATTTTCAGACAATTCAAGCTTCCTAAGTTTGAATGTGAATGTAGAAGATAAAGTAGGAGCCAGAGTCATCAGAAAAGTTATCATCAATCTCCACTTAACTATTTAAGTTATATTTTATTAATAAATTAAGCCTTGGGCAGATACAGGCATTTGACCATCTTTGAAACCACTAAGGATATATCCAAAATATAATGATATAATGCACTGGAAATTCCCCCAATATCTGAGAATTAAGGGTCCCGCATTTCAAAACAGCCAATTTACTATGAAAAAAGATTTGAGTACTACATACAATGGGTACCCGTATCATAGTCTCCAAAAATCATTTTCCCAGACATAAAACACTTTCTAAAACAAAATTCATAGATTTCCTTTATAAGGTCAAGCGTCTTCTCTAATTCAATCAAAATTCTGTTTACATTCATGAAGGGGAAATCCTGATACCATGCACCTGATCTATAGTTCAGATTATCCATTTAAAAATTTTTAATTCTTTTTTAACTTAACTCACGTCACCCATAAAAAGATGTATTCAGATCTAAATTTGAATGCCATTGCCTATTTCCTTCTTTTTAACTGAGTACCATAAAAACATAATTATGCAAAGTTCTTCCTTTCCAAAAGACAGTTGGTAAAAATGTCACACAGTAAAACAACCCAAGTCAACAAGAAAACATTCAAAGACCTTCTCCTCCTAAAATGGGGGCCGGGAGGGGGGTGGTGAGGGGAAGCAGGTAGCTGTTAATGAATTTATTTAACACTTTGATGTTAGAAGGAACTTTCTCTTCACTCATTGCATTTTAGTTTAGTGGTCAAAAATGATCATGTTTTCAAGGAGCTCTAATGGCAGTGCCTTACCAGTGTAGATGCTGGCATTGGAAGCTGGGATACCAAACTGTGACTCGATGAACTTGGGAATGAAGGTAATGAAAGCAGTTACAATGGCACTCTCAGCTGTGTATGACAAACTCACAAAAAGGAATGTCATGTTGCTTAAGATCCTGACAGCTGCTCTTGGTAGGTCTACAAAATGACAAAAATGACAAATGAATGTTATAAATAAGGGATGGAAAATAAAATAAAATTGAATTGTTTTTGAAATGAACTGGAAATAGCCATTCAGCAATATTCAAGACTATTGAACAGAGAATAAAACCAGAACAACCTGATGACTGATTAGAAATCATCCTTTTTATTAAACAGATTTGGGGTTGTTAAAAATTTTTTAACTAGGAGGAGGAAATTTTAAAAAGTAGTAAAAAACCATATCCATACACAAATAACCTTACAAAAATAATCCAATCTATGATTCCTGTTCTAAAAACTGCTTAAGATAAATTATTCACATTTTTTATTGATTAAAACAATGTTATTCTTTGTTAAAACCCAAGAGTCTACTAAATGGGCAAAGAACTTGCAGTACAGTCCTACATTATAGTTCCCACGTCGTTCAACTAGCATTTCTCTAGGAAAATGCACTTCTGAAGTGTCATATCCCTGACCCCACAATGAAGACAGCCACAGCAGGGGAACTGGTACATGATTCTGATCATTTGATCTTCCAGCCTCAGTACGAGACAGGAAATGATGCAGCTAAAAGGGTTTAAGGGTCAGGTCACCAGCTCAGATACTCCCAGGGACTTTGGACTGGGGAAGGAAGAGAAATGCTCTCCAAAAGGAGGAGACCCCAGAGGTGGGGGCTCAGGACTGTCCCAGCTGCCTCTCAAGGAACAGAGAAAAATGTCTCATCTTCAAGTCTTTGCATTTATTTTACAGAAGTTGCCATATAGATATGTTTCAAGATGTATGCCTAGGTATCTTCTTTTCAACATTATTTACAATGGCAAAAATTTAAGGAAAAAGACTAGATGTCCATCACTGGAAAATGTTTAAATAAATTATGGCACAGCCCCATAATGAAATACTATGCAGTAGCTAAAAACAATACAGAGCTCTATGTGCTGGCATAAAAGGAACTCTAAGAAATATTTTTATAAATGAACAAAGCAAGCTGCTGCAGAAATATACATATACATGAGTATGTAAATATATATACATATACATATATGTAATATCAAAGTAAAAATCAAACCAAAACAACATATTTATATGTGGTTGAATATATACTTCCCAATATATACAACACCAAGAAATTCTGTAAGTGGAAATAAGATTGGGAAAGAGGAATAAAAGGAGATTCTTATGCATTTTTGCATGTTTATAATGTGAATTAACTCACATTGATGAAGTTTTAGAATATGTGAGGTTCAGTGGGATGAAGTCCAGAGCCAATGACCAAGAAAGGATTCTTGAGATGTCTTTGGTGCAAAATGGTGGTTTATTAAAGCACGGGGACAGGACCTGTGGGCAGAAAGAGCTGCTGTCCCAGGATTGTGAGGTGTGGCTGATTATATACTATGGGGCTGGGGGAGATAAGGAAAAGGGAGAGTTTGAAAGAACTTTCATGTATTAAAGAAGACACACAGGATACCAGAGGCTTTGCTATTTCTCAAGTTAAGGTTGCTTTTCCTTTTAGTAAGGCATTCACAGTAAGACCGTTGGGAGCTCCCTGAAGGAATGTCACACTCCTCCTATCACATGTCCTTGCCAATGAGCTTTATGGGTTTAAAAGAAATTCAACTTTATTTACATTTCTCTCTGCCTCAGCCTCTCTCGGTTTTATTGAGGGGAAGGTGATGTTAGTTCTTCAGGAACAGAGTTGTATCTGGAAGTTAGGCTATTGGTAAGAAAGCTTCTTCCTTGTAAATCACTAGGACATTTATAAACTGAGGGAGTCTCGGGTCTTGCAGGATTGTGATCTCTACAAGTTAACTGTTTTTCCTTTAGGGCAGCCAGGAGTGCCTGAGGAATGTCACATATATCCCATGGTTGGGGGTGTGGTTCGCGGGGTATCGGCTTCCGCTTTACCCTCAGCTTGCCTTCTGTTCCCTCATCAACATTTATGTGATCTTTACATATCTTGGAATGTATCATGGAAAAAGATAAGCTGCATTATTTCTGTACAGTCATCGCAGTTATCAAAATGGTTATTCTCTAGGGTGTCTGCGTGGTTCAGTCAGTCAAGCATTCCCCTCTTGATTTTTGACTTAGGTCATGACCTCGGGATCGTGAGACTGAGCCCCACGTTGAGCTCCAGGCTCAGCGGGGACTCTGCTTAAGATTCTCCTTCTCCTAGGGCGCCTGGGTGGCTCAGTGGGTTAAAGCCTATGCCTTTGGCTCGGGTCACGATCTCAGGGTCCTGGGATCTGGCCCCATGTAGGGCTCTCTGCTTGGTGGGGAGCCTGCTTCCCCCTCTCTCTCTGCCTGCCTCTCTGCCTACTTGTGATTTCTGTCTGTAAAATAAATAAATAAAATCCTTTAAAAAATTTTTTAAAAAGATTCTCCTTCTCCCTCTCCCTTTGCCCCTCCCCCTGCTTGAGTGTGTACTCTTTCTCTCCCTCTCTAAAATAAATAAATCTTAAAAAAAGAGAACACCTATCACCTTATGCTACAACATAGTAAAGTCAATTCATAAAAATTAAAACTTGTTACTAAACTAGTAACAAGCAAAACTTGTTACTAAAGCTATAATTTATAGCCTATTCACCAGAATTTAAAACTTAGGAAGTCAAGACTATTTGCTAATCATTTTAAAATGTAAATTAACGTTAATGTTCTATATCTTAATTTAATCATTAAAGCTTAAATGAACATTTAAAATAAAAATTAAGATGCATACTTCATTTTTTAACATGGAAAAACACACCAGAAAAAAATATATAATTCAAGTACTTCATAAAATTACCCAATATTCTCTTGTAAATATGCAAATCAGAAGGTCATATCTAAGATTTAAAAATGAGAGCAGTGCCTGGCTGGCTCTGTTGATAGAGCATGGAACTCTTAATCTTGCGGTCAAGAGTTCAAGCTCCACAGTGTGGAGCCTACTTAAAAAAAATAAAATAAAATATTAAATAAATAAATAAATAAGATCTAAAAATTAGAAAATTAGAAGATTTTTTATCAACATTTGGAGACTCAAATTAAGTCTATTTGGTATATTAAATCTAAATATTGTTGAATCTAAAACATCTGGTGAAATTACACAACAAATTTTTTTAATCCAAGAAGATAACATATGTATCAAATAAACATTTTAAAAGATACTAGTTATAGGGGCACCTGGATAGCTCAGTCAGAAGAGTGGGTTATGAGTTCAGGGTTATGAGTTCCAGTCCCACATTGGGTGTAGAGATTACTTAAATAAATAAACTTAAAAAAAAAAAAAAAGATACTTGTTACAGAAAACTGATTTTTCTCTTATACCAATTTCATGTGCTAAAATAGGCCTCTAATTTCAATGCTAACTAAAAATATATGTCATATTTGTTCTTCTCTTTCATAAATAAATAAAACAAAACCCAAAAAAACCCCTGGTGTTATTTAAGAAGAATTTAGCAAAAGTTGAAATTCAACTTTAAGTTAGCTTCCTCCTTTCTTCCACCTCCCTCCTTCCCTTTGTTGGAGCTAAATCTTCAGCATACATGCCCTGCAGGAACAAAGGGCCAGATATACAGACTTGGGTCTTTAGTTGGTGGGGCTGGGAGTTTGTTTAAATACAAGAACAGTGGGATGCCTGGGTGGCTCTGTTGGTTAAGCCGCTGCCTTCGGCTCAGGTCATGATCCCAGGGTCCTGGGATCGAGTCCCGCATCGGGCTCCTTGCTCAGTGGGGAGCCTGCTTCTTTCTCTGCCTCTGCCTGCTTGTGTTCTCCCATGTGCTCACTCGCGCTCTCTCTCTCTGACAAATAAATAAATAAATAAAATCTTAAAAAAAAGACTTTATTTTAAAAATAAATAAATAAATAAATAAATACAAGAAGAGTGAGTAAGTAAGTCCATTAAGGTTAATGGCAGTCAGTCTTCTAATGGCCAGAGAAGGGAGTTTACAAATATGGACAAGGGATAGCTAGATATCAGATTGGAACTGACGGTAATGGTATATGAAGTCATGGGATAGATGGACAGATAGACCAATGGGTAGATAGAAGATGATTGATAGATATAATGATAGACAATAGATAGATAAAGATGACAGATGATAGATACATGTGTGTGAATATGTGTACACACACATATTTCCTTATTCTGTCTACTACATGGCTTAGAAGTTGTAACACCCTAGGAGCAAAGAGTACGCCTAACACCCAGTGTGTGGTTTCTAAGGGCCATTTTCCACTCAATGGATTGCTCCTTGGAGAAATGTCTAACTTCAGAGCTGAGACAGAAAATACAAGACGAGCCTGGAAAATCTTGTTTAACAAGAAAGTAAAGTGCTCAGAGAATGACAGGGACATGTCAGAAGGACACCAAAGAGAGTTCGAAGGATCCCAAATATGAAGCAATTTAAGGTCAATAGATGCTAAAAGTGGTAAGTGAAAGTTTAACAGAAACAAGATACAGTCAATCTTCATTATTTACAGATCTAGTATTTTCAAATTTGTCCACTCACTACAATTTATGTGTAACCCCCAAATCAAGATTCTCGGGGGTGGCCATTCAAGGACATGCACCAGGTGGCAAAAAAAAAAAATTTGAGTTGTAGGACACACACTTTCTTGGCAAAGACTGCGTGAGGCCTCTCCCTCTGTCTTCCTGGGTCAGCTCTCATGCTGCAAGCAAGTGTTCTTTTCATAAGATATTGTCAAATTTTTAGCATTTTTGTGTTTTTGGTGATTTCCCTGTTTCAAATGCCCCCAGACATAGTGCTGAAATGCTGTCTAGCATTCCTAAGAGGCTGTGATGTGCCATGTAGAGAAAATGCATGTGTTAGATACGCTCCCTTCAGGCATGAGTCATACTGCTGTTGGTGGTGGATTCAATGTTAATGAATCAGCAATATATGTTGAGTAAGGTATCTTTGAAGAGAAACATACATGAAACAAGGTTATGTATTGATTGGTTGATGATTATATTGTGACAGGAATCCAGCCCTGTGTTTCTCCTAGAGCAATGCCTCCGTGTT